GCTTCATCCACTTCGCTATTGGTCAAATCAGCAAACTGACAAATGGCGAACTGGATTGAGCGGATCAAGCGGATCATGTGAAACATACGTTTCGCTATTGGTCAGTTCTCTAATTTGACCAGTAGCGAAATGGATGAAGCGGATCAAGTATGGTGCGTGCCTTACTGACAAATGGAATATAATGCCAAAACATACTCGCAATTTTATGCACAGTCTATAATATATCCATGCAGCCGTAGTCAAACTATTCACAAATAGTTTATCGTTCATATTGTGATTTATAAGGTAATAGCTTGAAGGCGCATAAACTACAGTTTTGTGTAAAAGGCGACATAGAGAAAGGTGGGCTAAGGGGAACATACTTTTATGGCCAAGCCCATGGCGCAGAGCCAATATCTCGCTGATGTCCATTTCCAAATCCAAAACTCCGCCCACCACTTCGCCCGGATCCGCCAAAAGCTAGATCAAAATCTCGGCGAATTCCAAGTCCTCCAACGGGGGTTTGGACACCAACACCCGTTGCGATGTTAACATTACCGAGACCTAAGTAAGTTCAAGAAAAACTGTTTAGAGTTTAGTTGTTAATGCTTACCTGGACCGAAACCAGGTCCAGAATCTGGTGTGATCCCCGTACCCGCTTCGCCCTTTTCGTAATTCTGCCATCTTGCAAACTCTGCAGCACTTGGCGAGGCTAGATGAGGTGCAGATGGTAGGAATTTGCTGAAACTGGAATTCACATAATTACAGAAAAAATGAGAATGGACATACCCTACGCTTTCCTTGTCATGTTGTGTTTTCTGCGGCCGGCAGTGGCGAGGATTTATTTGACACACTAACTCCGTGAGACTCTTTGCCACAATTGCTGCAATGAACCAGCACTGTTTACGAATGGGGATGTGACATTTATTACCACTGGTCAGAGTCAACAACAGAAGTATCAACTCAATTGTTATCGACAGTCGAAGTCTAAGCATTGAAACCGGATTGTTATGACAGATTCTAACGGCTGACCTTGCGTTAACGGATGACGTATGCAGCAACAACGCATCTTACACTTTGATCATTGTTTACCATATTATGTACCTAAGAGCTGGGAAAACTAACTTATGCCAGCAAAATCTCCATATTCATATTCGCAATAAGACTATTGTCGGGATGCAGCTAATCCCCAACAGCTGCTCAGATGGGGGTGAGCCCATGTTAACCAACCTCTGGCAGTGACTTCCACCCGTCGACAGGAGCCGGTTCCCTCTTCTTTTCCTTTTGTATATAACTCTTGTGTAATAAATATCACAGTAAGACTAATGTAAGCCATCACGTAAAGGCAATGGCAGCTTTATCCTAGCATGGAGGTTCCGTGGTGTAGCGCTGAATTCTCAGGACGTTTCGTCAAGAAAATTAGAATTTTTCACATCTTTGAACTCCGCAGATATTACAAGTTTAAGTTTGATTTTTTCAGCAAGCACTAATGATATTCTGTCTAGCATATTTGAGCTTCGAGTAACTGGAAATGTTTATTGGAAGAGATCATCATTTTAAGGGACAACATACCAAGCGCTTAATTTAGAACGTATCTACAGCAACTAATAATTCTAAATTAATTATGTATAAATATCAAGTTGGGCAGAATCGGATATAGGCAGAAACTTGAGCACGATCAAAAAAAAAAATTTGGAGTACTATA